AAACCAAAAAACTAATGATGTATGGTGTACCAACATAAAATTTAAAAAATAAAAAATAAAACACGTCTTAAAAAATTAAAAGAATAAAATACATCTTGAAGGAAATCAATGTTGAATTTGAGAAAAAAGAGATATCCATATTAAAGAGAACAAAGGACAGAAAACATACAAGCCTGGATGTGAGGTCAGAATAGAGATATGGAAAGAAACCAGAGGAGTTAAAATAAAGCACACAAGGAAATAAAGGGGTTGTATGACCTTAAGATGGGGAGGGGTCTGGAGCCTGAAATAACTCGGGGATTAGAGTAACATAAACATGAGGTGCCAGGCAGAATGTAACAGAGGAAAGGAAAAATCTGTAAGATATGGTGACAAAGCAATCAACAGACCTGATTGACTGGTTCTATGTGAAGAAAAAGTAAGAGGCAGGATTAAGTAGTTAGGCTTTGATTCTGGATTATCAAAAAGAGAGAGCGAGAGAGAGAATAGACTCTGTGTATGTGTGCGTGTGTGTGTGTGTGTGTGTGTGTGTGTGTGTACGTGCATGTCTAGGGGACAGGAAGGTGGGAGGAGAAGAAGAAAGGGAAGGCGTGGAAATGTTTTAAGGTATGTCTAGGTAATGTCAGGAGATGATTTTTCCTCTCCCTTCTTTCCAACTGTAGAGAGCTCATAATCATGAACATGTGCTGAAGAACTCCAACAGCCTGTTTCCTTCTACGTGGCTGAAGAGTCAAGTTCATTATGTCTTAGGGACTTGGAAAGCTCACAAATAACAGTGGTCATTAATCATGCTGGCTAAATTCCTGAGCTGTAGATAGAAAGGTATGGGAAAGTGCAAAATACTAGGCTTTCCCTAACGTTATTTTAACTTACTTTCTGACAGGTAAGTTCAGGCTCGGGTTTACACTCTGTTGTTGAAAGAAGGGTTGGAATAGCACCTACTTTGTCTTCCACACCATAAATCGCCACAGCACACAACACTGCATGTTTCACACACAACAGAAAAGATACATCAGAGCCAGTAACCTTCCCCTTAGTTGCTGATAAAGTAAAATAGACCCATTCTTTACAGAAACACTTAAGTATCTGTTCAGATAAATATTCCCTAGCTGCAATAAAGACTATTATTTTAACTCCAAGATCATTTCTGCATAAACACTGAGTGTAAATTTAAAATCTCTATGATGGGAGTATAAAAATAACACTTTAAAGGCAAAAGTACAGCAGTTAATTATATTTAAACATCACATAAACAGGGCGAAAGTTCTACCTCTCTCCCTTAGTCTCTCTCTAAACATCAAAGAATTAAAAGCAGGATTCTCATTAGTAAGTTGATGGTGATTTAAGATGACATATTGGAAAAGGAGAATTGTAGCTGTCAAATGACCAAAGCTGGCAGAAATAATTCTCCTTTGCAATCCTTTTAAATCTAGGAATTGTGTTGAAGTTCACTTTCTCTTTTGGAAGAGTGCCATTTTTTTCCCTGAATAGTCTCAGTTGTTAGATTTCTGGTGCTAAACAGAAAAGGCCTGCTAAGAGGTGAAAACTTAAAAAAAAAAAAAAGGCAATTAAGCCATACTGAGCTGGAAAAAAAATTAACATTGCCTCATTTGTGTTTTTTGTCAACTTGGTGTAACAGAACTGGTTTAACTTATCTAAGTACAACAGACTTGAAAATGCCCAGTGTAGGTAGAAGAACACTTGCCTGGGGAAAGCCTTCCTTAGACAAACCCAGCTGCACTGAGGGAAAAGGGGATTTTTCTGCCATGAAAACTTTTTCACTACAGAGACCAGCTGCTTTAGCCAAAGTAATCATAAAGTCTGTAGAATGGTCTGCACACCATCTGGCTCCTTTCAATGTCTTGGAGACTCCTTCAAAACTGGCTTTAAAAGTATTTTCCCTTGCATACCAGGTGTATTTACTATTGCCTGGAATAAATCTGGTTGGTGTGGGGGTGGAGGATGGGGGCTTGGGATCTTGGAAGGGATTCAACTTTTTCAAAAATAGACTGAGAAACTGCAAATTGTTAGGATAACCAATATCTTGGTTTTGCTACCACTTCCTTTTCAGTTGAATGATAACTGTACATATCCGTAGCTACCCACTTGCAAATAAAATGAACTATCCCACTCCCTTGCTTGGCTCAGTCCCCTCTTTATGATTTATTTAGTATGCTACATACATTTAGCATGATAGTATGCCAATAAGATGATTTCCTCTTTTTCAAAGGACACAAGAATAAATGATAAACTTAACAGGGAGAAAATTCCTGGCAGATATCGTAAGTCTCATCTTGAAACACATTCCATTTAAATTGTACAAACATAAAGTTCCATTTATCTGAAAAACTTTAAGCCAAATGTCATCAGTGTATCAACTATTAAAGGCATCTTACTAATAATAAGCACATGCTTGTAAACGAATGTGGAGTAATACCTTTTTCTCTAATGGTTTCCTCAAGATCATGATTTAAGAAAGATCTTCAAAGCACTGTCTGATGGTTTGTAACAAAACAAATTCACATCCTATAAATTAATGTTATACCACAAATGCTTCTGTCTTTTAACATATTTCTTCATATGTGTTTTTCAGAGATGGAAGTTCTCAGAAAGAAGACTGTGAAAGTGTTTGCTTTTTGTACAGTTTCTTCCACACTCTCCTGAACATATAGGTACCTAACCTAAATGTTCTGAGGTCAGAAAGAGTTCTCTATGCAGATTGGGTAAGCCCAGGACCATTGGCAAATATATTTAAACTGACAGCATGGGGTGCTTGAGTTTTTCAGGTAGTACATTCATAGTTAAGACTGAGCCTTTTCACTATTAATAACTCAATAAATGAAAAGACAGCCCAAATTAAAAATGGGTAAAAGATTTTAGGCTCCCGGCTCGGCGGGGAGCCTGCTTCTCCCTCTGACCCTCTCCCCTCTCATGCTGTTTCTCTCGCTCGCTCTCTAAAAAATAAATAAAATCTTTAAAAAAAAAAAAAAGATTTTAATACACATTTCTTCAAGAAGATATATGAATGGCCAACAATTACATGAAAAGATGTTAAAAATCTTTATCAAGGAAATGAAAGTCAAAAGCACAATGAGACACCACTTTATCCCCCCTATGATCAGCTATAATCAAATAATGAAAAATTCTGGAACTAAATAAAAGTAATGGCTGCACAACACTGTCAATTACGCCACTGTGTTGTACACTTTAAAATGCTTAAGATGGTAAATTTTATGCTTTGTGTATTTTACCACACAATAAAAGATAAATAATAACAACTGCTGGTGAGGATATAGAGAAATCAGAACGGTAACACATTGCTGTTTGGAATACAAAATGGTGCAGCCACTTTGGGAAAAGTCTGGCAGTTCCTCAAAAGGTTAAGTACTGAGTTACCATATGACCCAGCAATTCTACTTGTAAAATAGACACAAGAGAATCAAAAACGTATGTCCACACAAAAACTTGTCCAAAAATGTCCATAGCAGCATTATTCGTGATAACCCACAGTGCAAACAACCTGAACAAACATCAATTGATAAATGGATAAATGAAATGTGGTATATAGCCATACAATGGACTATTATTTGGCAATAAAAATATGCGAAGTACTGACACATGTTTCCACATGGGTTAATTTTAAAAGCATTATATTAAGTAAGAGAAGCCAGCCACAAAGGACAACATATTACAGGATTCCATTTATACTAATGTCTAGAATAGGCATATGCACAGACACACAAAGTAGATTGGTAGTTGCTTAAGGCTGAGAGAGGGAGGCTGTTTGAGGAGAAATAGAAGTGACTGTTAATGGCTATGGAGTTTCTGTAGGGGATGGTTAAAATGCTCCAAAATTGATTGTGGGGAGGGTTGCACAACTCCGTGAATATATAAAAACTACTCAATTTTATATTTTAAATGGGCGAATTATACAATATGTGAATTATATCCCAATAAAGATGTTATTTTAAAATGAGAATGAGCCTTTTTCTGGTTGGCAGAAGTTGATAAGTGGTGTGTGGGAGTTTATGTCAACAGAAAGGAGGCTTTGGGAGAATGCATCTGCTATACTGATATTCCTCAAAGTTAGCGTTCTACATCTCTCCTCTAGTTGATAGTCTTTCTTTTTGCCACTATACACTTTCCATACTACCGACCTGAGAAAAAACGATCAAGGTAGGAGAACAGGAAATAGCACGTACCTTAAAGAAAAGTGATAGTAGTAGTATCGTTTGGTTCACATTGAGATGTTCTAGAAGGAGAGCCTCAGATCCAACACTCATCAAAAAGTGTGAAGATGGGGTAGGGCGACCCAGTTATTTATGAGTTTGCCTTCTCTTTCTGAATCCCTATGCTAATGATTAGGAACTTATAATACCTTGACAGCAATGATATGAATATCAGATCAACGACCCTAAGTGAAAATCTCAGAGAAGAAACTTCATCCCTTGATCAACGCCAAGCAATCTCTATGGAGGTCATTTCACCTAATTTCCCTTCCTTTCCTCTACCTTTTCTTTCTTTCTTTCTTTTTTTTTTTTTCCCAAGTTATGCCTCCTACTCCTTCTCCAGGAGAAGCCCACCTGCATCCCTGGAGTAGAGGAAGAGGCCTTTATTACAGCTCAGCCCCGCCCAGCCCAGTCCATCCACAGCAGACCTAAGCCAAATCCTCAGTAGTTGGAGATAGACAGACTGCTTTCCCACCAACGCTAGGCAGGCCTGTCCTACCTTTTCCCCTACAGCAGGAAAGCTCCACACTTCTCCACTCTTCATAATTAACCATTCTTGAGAACAGGCCAAGTCCAGTCCAGTAAGGCATAGGGTGAAGCAGCTGCTGGGGGACTGTGTGTGAGGGTCAGGGGAGAGGAGTCCAGATCCCTAGAACAAAAGTCACAGCTGGGAAGAGGGAGAGAAGCCTCCATGTCTGCCTCAGGGTGCAGCCCTTGCTCCTCCTGCACAGTCCCCCTGGTGACTGAGCTCAGCTGGGCAGTTGCCAGTCACTAACGAATCCCAGCCACTGGCACCTGCTGCTGCTTGCGGATCTTACTGAAGAGTTCCATGTACTGGACCATGGTATCTGCTGGGCCATAGACAGCATCGTGTCTGTTCCCAAACACTGCAGGAGCCCCTGGTGTGTGGTTGCCTAGAAAACTCTGTAGGAACTTGAGCAACAGGCTCCAGCAGTCGCTAGCTACCACACAGCGGCCATACTCCACCTCTACGGAGATGCCTCGGGCACTGGGCCCCGTGGTGACTGTGCCCACCTTCACTAGGAAGTCACAGTACTGGTAACAGGTACCCTGGGTCTCAATCTTGCTGGCCTTGGCACTCTGGAAAAAGCCCTTCAGCTTCACCATGAGCACATCGAAGTTGGTGTCGGCAATAAGCCAAGGGCCATTCTCAAAGAGGGCAAAGCAGCTCAGAGGGTACTCTGAGTTGTGGATCACATACATCAGCTTCCCAGCCTGACCTTGGCTGCCAAGAGCGGAGGCAGCTGTGTGGTAGGTCTCACAATCCACGCAAAATGTTCCTTGCTTCTCTGCCCCAAGCATCTCCAACTTCCGGGTGAGGAGCTCCACTGTCTGCTGGACACTCTTGCCCTCAGCCACAGGCATCTGGGACACACAAGTCACTCCCATGGTATCGGGCCAGGAGGGTGGCAGGAACAAACAGCTGAATCACAGTGTTCTCTGGCCGCCCACACTAAGTGAATCCCCCCTGATGCAAGCTTCTGCCGAGGGAGGTGCTCCGGAAATGATGTAAAAACTCTACGTTTTCTTTCTAAGTTAATATATAAATGCTTTAAAAAATTATTCCCGTTCAAAAGTCGGGTTAGCAATATTTTCCCTTTCCCCAACTCTTACTTAGATGTCTAAGCCTCTTTATTTGCAAAAAATTACTAACAATAATCTTTCCTGGTAAAGATAGGTAGGTAGACATAAGAAAAAAAAACAGGTTTCCTTTTTATAAAGTATATTCTCATTGAAGAGTTGAATAAATTCACATTTACAGATATATATATAGCATTATTTTTTTTATTTTCAAACCAATTAATAAAAAATATAATAGCTGATGTTATTGCCTCCATGCATTCGACAGGAGAACAGAGGGCACAGAATGCCTGTGTAACTATGTCAGGTCGCATTCACAAGCCGAATTTAGTTCTTACACGCCATTTATAGTGTTTAGTAGACAATTCCCAATCAGGGGCTTCAAAGATAACCCAAGCTACCATGGCACAGCTTCACGCATTTCTTTTTCTTTGCCGCATAATAACATAAACTAGAATTAATCTTATGTTTAGTCTTCCACATTCTATAAAAATAAGAGCTTCTAAAGACATAGAATTTGCTTTAAGAAAGAAAAAAAAAGCCCCCCACCATGATCATCCCCCTATAAGAGAGCAACATTTTAAATTTACCACATGCTTAAGTCTGCATTCTCTTAATAATGTTAATGTAATTAAGCTGCATTTGATCTTCCAGATTTTTTGAAATAAAATTATTCTGAACCAAATTCTCACAAGAATCGAGAAAATCAGTCTTCAATGTGTTTAAACCTAACAAGACCTTATTCTTGTATAGTAAGTTCTTGGCAACAACAACAAAAACAAAACTACATGAAATACAACTGCTATTTCAGTGCAGCAGTATTCGCTACTCAGAGATCTGGTCCTCTCCCTTTATCTCTGATTTCTTATTGTCTACTGCCCACTGGCATCTCCACTTTGAAGTCCAATGGGCATATCAAACTTATCAGGTCCAAAGTGACCCCCTGAACCTGTCCACAATGCAAACCTACTCTTTCTCTCATCTTCTCCATACCCATAAAAATGGCAGTGCCATCCTTCTTCTAGTCATTCAGGTCAACCATAAGGTAAGCTTTGAAACCTCTCTTTTCTTTCACACTATATGTTCAATCCATCAGTACATCTTACTAGCTCTGTCTTCTAAATATGTCCAGAATCCAACCATTTCTCACTACCCTCAACTAATCGTGGCCTAATGTAGGTAATATTTTCTCCCATTTGAGTTATCAGAATAGCCTTGTAACTAACTGGTCTCGCTACTTCAGCCCATGCCTCCCCATACTGCACCCCCCTCCCCGCAGGGTGTCACTTTTAAGTCTGGAAAATCATATTGGCTTCTGCTCAAAGTCCTTCATCTCACCCAAAATAAAAGGCAAGGTTCTCAAAGTGATGCATACAAAGCCCCTCTATCTGCTTGTTCCCTTGTTCCCCTGTGTCTTTAATCTCTTACCACTCTGCCAATTGTTCACACCCTGCCCACCACCAAAGGGGTTTTGTATTTACTCTTAGTTCCGTATGGAATGCTCTTTCAACAATTATCATCAAAGCTCCCTCCATCAACTCCTAATCAACAAAGTCTTTCCTAATGACCTTATTTTAAAACCAAATCCATTCCAGACCCTAACCTCTTCCTTCCCTCAAATCACCAATCTTCCTTCTCTGTTTCATTTTTGTCCCTCTATCATCTGACTTAACAGTCATTTTGCTTATCTAAACTATTTTATTTAAGTAAAAATAAAAAAAATACAGCTTTCTGGGTTGTAGTAGTACTGGAGGACTGTATAGACAATGTTATATAAAAGTCAAAACATTATGCTAAGTGAAATAAGTCAAGCAGAGAAAAACAATTATCATATGGTTTCACTCATATGTGGAACATAATAGCATGGAGGACCATAGGGGAAGGGAGGGAAAACTGAATGGGAAGAAATCAGAGAGGGAGACAAACCATGAGAGACCCTGGATTCCAGGAAACAAACTGAGAGTTACAGAAGGAAGGGGGGTGGGGGGATTGATTAGCCGGGTGATGGGTACTAAGGAGGGCACGTACTGCATGGAGCACTGGGTTTTATATGCAAACAATGAATCATGGAACACTACATCAAAAACTAATGATGTATTATATGGTGGCTAACTGAACATAATAAAAAATATTTAGCATCTATTTTTATGTGATGAAAATTACAATATTTATGATAAAGTAACACTACCCGCCATTTTAAAAAAATAAAAATAAAGTGATCCAGGTTTTTTTTGGCATATTTCTATTTAAAAAAAGGTCAAAACTGGAATGTGCAGAAAATAGGATGTGGCTGATTTGTGGACTCATATTTATTTTTGTCTTTAACTTTTTTAAAAAGAAGACTCCTGGAGTAGATTGGCATATTCTGTTAAAGACTTAAGTGATCCATTTTGCGTACACCGATGCTTCCCAAGGGATGAGTCCAGGGACCATGACCCGTTGCTGTGTGTATGTATTTACAAAAACAAAACAAACAAACCACCCATTTGGATTTAAGATAGCCATCACAAACTAAAGACTGTGACTTATTTAGGTGCAATAACCTGATTCCCCAAGTTAGTTACAGTGGGTGTTATTGCTTTTGTGACAGGATTTATTCAGACTGCTGTACTCTTCATTTGATGTAACAAAATGCTATTAATCTAAATATTTGTATGTAAAGTATCTGTAGCTAGATTAAGTTAAAAAAATTTTTAAAAATAAACTATTTTACTCACATACCATACATTTGAATAATCTCTCTTAAATTGTCTGGTTCATCTCTACTAAAATATACTAGAATGTAAACTCCACTAGTGCAGAAATATTTGGTCTTATTTGTTCAGTGGTATATCCCCAGTGGTTAAAACAGTGCCTGGTACAAAGCTGTCACTCCACAAATATTTGTTGAATAAAACGACAAATTACATACAGATATGAAAATTCATAACAGCAAATTAAGAATATCTGTTGGTATTGTTATTGTCTTTAATATATTTCACAATGTCATGTTTTCAAAAATGCATTCAATTAAAAATTTGAGAGTAAATAAGAGAATACCCAAGTGAGTTAATTTATTTATAACCAATATTGCATTCATCAGGCTAAATTTGTCACTGAAGCTACTAATTACAAATACTCATAAACATATTATGAATTGTCTGTTTGTATTTATTTTAATAATTTGCTCATAAAATTAATCAAGTGTCATTATTTGTCAACCTACTTCAACCTTTGCGTTCTTAATAAATATCACTGGCATCAATCCAATAGCTTGGTCCTGAAACTTAAGTCATACTTGATCTGTCATTCCCTCTCAAACAATCCGTCAGCAAGCCTTGTTAGTTAGAACTTCAAACTCTATTATGCATCTGCCCACAACTCGTACCACCACTATCATCATGCCAGACCAAGCCACTACCATTTCTCTTCTGGACAATGGCAGCAGTCTCTGCACTGGTCCCTGCACTCACATTAGTTCTGTCTTCCAACCCATTCTCCACACCACAGCATGACTATTTTTCTTACAGTACAGACTAGCTCGCAGCAGTCCACGGCTTCCACTGCTTGAAACCTTTCACTTTGCTTTTATAGTTGCTCTAGTTACGTTTTTAGACTTTCAGTGGCAAATATTTTCATACTGCAATACAGGACAAAGAGATCCTGCTGTATAATCTTTACCCAATTTCCCCAAAACTTAAGGTCTTACTTAGTCACAGTATAATTTTCAAATCAAGGACATTAACAATAATAGGATACTAGTAACTAACTGAATGCAGAGGCTGTTGGTCTGCAACATAGGGGAAAGACTTCCTGGCCACCTAGTCTAAAGTAATTTCCTTGATTTGTTTTCACCACAGCATTTTATCACCACCTGATATTTTCCCATGTATGTATTTTGTTTATTGTCTATATTTCCATACTAGAATTTGTGCACCACATGAAGTGGGACACTTTTTTCTTGTTCCTGACAATATCCTCAAGATTTCAAACTATGCACGCCCAATAGGAGGCCTTCAACAAATACCTATTGACTGTATAAATTAACCAAGGAATATTAAATCAAACTGAAGAATTATAAAACTGTTAATTCTATACTTTACAGTTTTCAATTCATTCCTATTTATTAATCTAATTTAGAATAATGGAAAAATTACTAATTTAAGGGTCAGATAAGCTTGATTTCATTTCCCAGCTCCCTCACCAACCACCAAGGTTTAAATCCTACTTAAGAGTTAGTTTTCTCATAAGGTATTCAAATTCAAAATCATCCAGCCAGTAAGCATTAAAGCCAGTATTCAACCTATGTTTGACTGAAAAAGCACCAAGTTTTATAGCACCAAATTCAAATGTAAGCCCATGATGTCAGTAATTGTCTTTTTTATTACTTATATAATTACTAGTGCTACTATAGTATCTCCCACAGAAGAGACCCTCAATAAATAAATCTTAAAAAAAGGTAAACACTACTAATGAGTCATATGGTGTGCATCCATCATATGTGAGTTTGTATATTCCAGTTTCATTTATTAAAAAGGTATTATCCTTGAACATAAAATTCTGTTTCAGTATTCTTATTAACAATGTTGTTATTAAATTCCATGCCATCCACATAGATTTATGTCTCTATATCATTCTTGAAAACAAAAACTTTAGTTAAATATCATCCTAGTCCTTGCAAAAATAATTAGCTTTGGTCAAAACACCTGCATTTAATTATTTTTATCAAATTTCAAGGTTTTTAAAATCTCCATATATAACATTCAGAAAGCTCTAGGATGAAATACACATCTGATATCATGAGATTTTCATATTTTATTTATCATGAAATCAAAGGTTGAATTTGA